TGTTTCTTTTTTAAGGAATTTAAAGAATGTAAGGAATTTATAAAATTTAAATTGGGGGGCCTGGGTCTTGAAATATGGGCCGCCGATTTAAATTTTATAAATGCTGTAAACTCTAAATTGGAAATAGGGCCGGTATTTCTTTTTTAAAGAATTTAAGGAATTTAAAGGGCTTAATTTCCTTAAATTCCTTAGATTGGAAATAGGGCCGGTATTTCTTTTTTAAGGAATTTAAAGAACTTAAGGAATTTACAAAATTTAAATTGGGGGGCCTGGGTTTTGAAATAATGCCGCCGATTTAAATTTTATAAATCCTTTAAATTCTTTAAATTCCTTAAATTGGAAATAGGCCTGTATTTCTTTTTTAAAGAATTTAAGGAATTTAACGGGCTTAAATTCCTTAAATTCCTTAAATTGGAAATAGGGCCGGTATTTCTTTGTTAAGGAATTTAAAGAATTTAAAGAATTTACAAAATTTAAATTGGGGGGCCTGGGTTTTGAAATAGGGGCCGCCGATTAAAAAGGCTTTTTTAAATTTCAAAACCACCTTAAATTCCTAAATACCTAATTTTTGAATTTAATGAATTTAGGGTTTTTTTAAAATTAAAAAGGGCTGTAAAAAACGAAACCCTTAAATTCCTTAAGTTCCTAAATACCTAATTTAGGAATTTAAGGAATGTAAGGTTGTTTAAAAATTTTAAAAAGGGCCGGCCCAACAATTTTATTTACCCAATTTAAGAATTTAAGCAATTAGGGCGTTTTTTGAATTTTAACAAAAACCCTTAAATTCCTAAATACCTAATGTAGGAATTTAAGGAATTTAAGATTTTTTAAAATTTAGAAAGGCCTTTTTTGCATTTTGAAAAACCTTAAATTCCTTATTCGTTAAATTCCTAAATACATAATTTAAGAATTTAAGGAATTGCAGGAATTTAAGGTTTTTTTAAATTTAAAAAAGGGCCGGCCCAACAATTTTATTTACCCAATTTAAGCATTTAAAGAATTTAAGGTTGTTTAAAATCAAAAAATGCCTTTTTTAATTTTTTTAATTTTACGAAAACCTTAAATTCTTAAACTTCTTTAAATTCCTAAATACCTAATTTACGAATTTAAGGAATTTAAGGAATTTAAGGTTTTTAACATTTAAAAAAGGGCCGGCCAAAAAACAAATATTTACCCAATTTAAGAATTTAAGGAATTTAAGGAATTTAAGGTTGAAAGCCCTGGCCTTCTAGATTTTAAGAGTTTTAAGGATTTTTTTCATATTTAAAAGGTGGGGAGGCCCAGCTCCTTCCCCCTAAATCCTTAAACCCTAAGCCCCAAGCCCCTAAGCGCCTAAGGGCCTCACCCCTAAACCCTTAAGCCCTAAACCCTACGCTCCTAAGCTCCGAACAACCTACCCCCTAGACCCTTAAACCCTAAGCTCCAAAGCTCCTAAGCTCCTCAACGTCTACCCCCTAAACCCTAAACCCTAAGCTCCTGAGGTCCTAAGCGCCTAAGTGCCTACCCCCTAAATCCTCAAACCCTAAGCTCCAAAGCTCCTAAGCTCCTCAACGTCTGGCCCCTAAACCCTTAAACCCTAAACCCTGAGCTCCTGAGGTCCTAAGCGCCTAAGTGCCTACCCGCTAAATCCTTAAACCCTCCAAAGCTCCTAAGCTCCTAAGCTCCTACCTTAAATCAAACCCTAAACCCTAAGCTCCTAGGCTCCGAAATCCTTAAACCTGCACCCTGAGCTCCTAAGCGCCTCAGCGCCTACCCCCTAAACCCTGCCCTTTTAAATGTTAAAAATCCTTGCCTTCTTCTTTGCTGAAATTTTCTAGGTTTTAAGGATTTAAAATTTAAAAGGAGCTTTCGTTTGAGGTTGAGGGCACGCTAGGGCTGACAAAAATCCTTTGCTAGTTTACAAAAAACCCTTTCGCTTAAACGTGTTTTTTAAAAATACTTTCGTTTTTGAGGGTGGTGGCACACCAAGGTTTACAAGAATCCTTTCGTTTTTGAAGTTCAGGACACACTAGGGTTTACACAAAAACTGTCGTTTTGACGTTGCCGGCGCAGCTGGTTGATAAACAAGCCTTTCGTTGTTGATGTTGAGGACATATCAAGGTTCAAATCGAACCTTTCGTTAAAAGATGATGGCGCTTTAAGGTTTTGCAAAACAACAGCTTTCGTTAACGTTGTTGCAGTCTTACGTTTTTCAATACTTTAAGATATTTACCAGGCTGCAAGAAGAGCTTTTTTTTGTAAATCCATAATATGATTGAGGTCTTAGGTCTCCACTCTAGATTTTAATGTTTTGCAGTAACCATAACTAAAACTGTTTGCATCGTTCAAATACAGTGATGTTTGCCCAATGTTCATATCTAGAGCCTCCCAAATATTATGAAAAAATGAATGCCTGAATTCAATTATTCAAAATGTTTAAATTATGGGTCCTCTAAAAGACTTAACACCCTTTAAATAGCTAGTGTGGTTCGTTTATTCATCGCATCTCTCTCCCTCTCTTTCTCTTTCACTCTCGCTTTCTCTCTCTCTCTCTCTCTCTCTCTCTCTCTCTCTCTATCTCTCTCTCTCTCTCTCTCCCCCTCTTTGCCTCCTTCCTTCCTTCCCCCTTCCTTCCTTCCTTCCATTCCTTTCTCTTCTCCTCTTCCTGCTTCTTGTTCTTTCCTCTTCCCTCCTCGCCCCTCCCGTTTTTAATTTGCCATTCAACAAGGAATAAAGGAAGAAAGTCAAGGATAAGAGAAGGTAGAGTTGTGTTCACACCAGAAACATGACACATTTTCCGCGAAATATGTGTCAGTAGAGCTGTGCTAACACACGAAACATGACACATTTTCTGCAGAATATGTGTCACTAGAGTTGTGTTAACACCAACAGCATGACACATTTTCCGTAAAATATGTGTCAGTAGAGCTGTGCTAACACCAAAAACATGACACATTTCCCGCAGAATATGTGTCACTCGAGTTGTGTTAACACCATAAATATGACACATTTCCTGCAGAATATGTGTCGCCAGAGTTGTGTTAACACCAAAAGCATGACATATTTTCCGCAACATATGTGTCAGTGGAGCTGTGCTAGCACCAAAAACGTGACACATTTCCGCGGAATATGTGTCACCAGAGTTGCGTTAAAACCAAAAACATGACATGTTTTTTGCAAAATATGTGTCCGTAGAGCTGTGCTAACACAAAACACACATTTTCCGTGGAATATGTGTCACCAGAGTTGTGTTAACAAAAAAACATTTTCCGCAGAATATGTGTCAGTAGAGCTGTGCTAACACCAAAAGCATGACACATTTTCCGCAGAATATGTGTCACTAGAGTTGTGTTAACACCATAAATATGACACATTTTCTGCAGAATATGTGTCGCAAGAGTTGTGTTAACACTAAAAACATGACACATTTTCCGCGGAATCTGTGTCACCTGCATCTCCTGCTTTTGTCCTCTCCTAATCGCGTGGACCTTACCCTTATCCTTTTCATAATTCTTCCTTTTTGGTTCTTCTTTTTTCGAAAAGACAGGGAAGGGAGAGATAAGGGAGAAAAAAGGATAGATAAAGAAGAGTGCCATCTGCTTTGCGCCTTGTTTTGTCTCTCCCTCTCCTTTATATTCATCTCTCTTCTATTCTATTCTTTTCTTGGCTCTTCCCATTAAAGTTGTGTTCCTCTTATCTCTCCCTCCTTCTCTTCTCCTGTTCCCCTTTAAGTGACAAAAAACACAAGAAAGGAATAACAAGAGGGGAACGGAAGCCCTTTTCCTGTCTTCTCCTGTTGCAATGAATCAGGAAAAGAGCCCAGGGGATAAGGAAGGGAATTGAAGAGCTCATTTCGCTACTTTCTCATGCCCTTTCCTTTCTATCCACCACACCAAAACACGACTCTATTCAGGCCACCCACCCCCCCCCCCCCCGTTGTTTTTTGGCCATGCAGGCATGCATCAAAGCAGATGAAGCCCTTGCAAACCCACCGTGCAAGCGTTGTGTTTGCAAATGGGGGCGGGGAGGGGGGGGTGGCTGCGGCCCCCGCAACACGGTGCATGCTTCAAAGTCGGGGGCCGGGCCGCCTCTGAGTAGTCTCAATCTTCCAACAGTCAACAGCGGCCCGGACCTCCGGCCGACACGTTGTGTGAATGCCGCGGAAAACGCTCGAGACTACACCCAGGCCTGCGGCACCTCCCTACAAACACCCCAGCAGGTGGAACGTCCATGCGCAAGCGCATGTTGCCCACCGTCCCGGGTCGAGCTGCGGAGGCTCCCAAATTGCCACGCCGGCACAGCTTGCCTGCGCCCAACATCATGGGCAGGCTCGTCTATGGGATCTTGTACTGCATCGACCAGGGCCCTAACCCGCGCGATCCAGCAGCACCAGAGGCGCAGCCCGGGCGAAGGAGCTTGAACCTCAAGTACAAGTCTGAGTCATGCCGCGCATCGTCCCAGCGGCGCTTCGAACGACGTCTTCTTCCACTGCAGAAGCGAGGAAGATGACAATCGAAGATTAGTGTGCCTCGCTACGAGAAGCATGCACTTCTTCAAAACGTTGGGACGAAGCTGACCCACAACGCTGATCTCGTCTATCCTTTTCGAGGCAGCAGGAGATGCAGATGAAGTCCTTGGTTTTGCAGTAGATGATGAATCCGGCGGTTTTGTCGAACTCACCTACTTGGGAAAGTGGCATCGATGGTAGAGGACCGAGGCCACGAATGCTGGCTGCCTGAACTCATATTGAAAGCCTCTTATTCTTTACGCGCTCCCCGTGTTCATGGGCGCTTGTCTCGAGAAACGATAAGAGAAGGAACGCGACAGCGATAGAGCACGGCTCATGGAAACGTTGGTTCCAGTAGGGGTGAGGGATAAACAGAAGCTTTCCTATTTTGAGCTAAAAGGCATACAAAACAAGGCCGACTAATTATGAAGGTGGGATTGGGAAATGAGTTCTGAAAAAGTCGACAGGGGTTTTGTGTTTCAAGTTCCCCCCTCCCCTCTGTCCCCGAAAAGAGGAAGCTGATCGCGGACTTCTACATGACCGGGGACTCGCGGGGACCCCGCGGCAGCCTCCGGCTCAAGCAGCTCACGCCCGGGCACTTAACCAAAATGAGAGAGAAGAAAAGAGAAAACAGAAAAGAGCCGAGTCATGACCTCTGAACAGAGAGAGGGAGAGGCTGCAAAGTGAGAGGGGACATGAGAAAATAGAGTTACCAAAACGTCAAGGCGGCCGCAGGGAAAATGTGAGAGAGAGATAGAGAGCCCTGTAACTTGCAAGCAGTTCTTTGCTTTCTCTGAGGCCGGACGCCAAGCAAGAGAGCACCTGGCACCGTGGCAACGACAAAAGGGCGGAACACGTGGGGCGAACATGATGCGGAGACTTCCCCCATTTTTGTGTCTTCGCTCGGGCCTGCCGTATACACCGCGCAGGAATGTGGGAAGGCATGGGTAAGGTCTGTCTGCGTCTCTCTCATTTTTCTCCTCCTTCCTCGCTATGGAGTTGATGCCCTTGCCGGGACTATTCGAAGGATCTTCAGGTTGCTCTCAGCATTTGAAGTCTCAATGGGCAGCACTAGGACTTAGGATCCTCTCTCTGACTCTCCTTTTCTCTGTTTCTCCAATCGGTTTTTTCTTTTCTCTCATATCTCTCTCGCCTTCTCTTTCTCTTTCTTTTCTTTTGAGGTTCGCCGTGTACCGGCCTACCAGCAAGGATGCCATCGCCAAGATGCTCTCCGGCGTGGCGGCCGGGGCCCTCAGATGTGTCCAAAAGGTTAGATGCATCCCGTTTGACGTACACTGTTTCACCATTCAAAAAAAGGAGTGGAAATGCGAGCTGCGGTGTGGCCTCCATTCAAACCAGCCCCTCCTTCCCCTTGTCCATGTAATTTTTTATGGGGAGAAAGGTAAAGCGAGCAGTGGGGGCGGCATTGCCAATGAGAGGTTCCGAAGTTTGACGGTGGAGGCCATTCTCCCATAGTCGATGAACATGTTTGGCTACACGCGACACCGAACAAGAATTCGACATTCGTCCTCAAGGTCACGATTGATCCCCAGCCCCACCCTGCAGAGGATTTCTCGTGGCCAAACATTGCCCCGCAAATCGTGTGATTCTCTTGTGCTCTTGGGCCAGTGCTTAAGTCCTGTCAAGTCACGCCTCACCTCAAACTAAAGGGGAACGCGAGGCCGCCAAAAGAATGTGACCAACCAGCTGAGTCAGCTTGGCGAAGCGTCACCATGTCAAGTGTGTGGTCTGCATGGTTTCCCTTTCAAGACAGCAACACAAGGGGCATTCCCCTGCATTGTGCATCTGGCAACGTGCCGCACTGACTTGCCGGTGACATCCACAGCACTTCTGGTTCAAAGAATCAACGAATCAACGAATCAACGAATCTAAGTGATGCAGGGCTCGCAGCTGTGACCTCCTCCCGCGGGGAAAGGGGGGGGGGTAGTTCTAGGTTTTCGTTGTCGCTGTTGGCTGCAAGAGAGAAAGAGAGAAAGACAGAGAGAGAGAGAGAGAGAGAGAGAGAGAGAGAGAGCGAGCGAGGCAGACGAGACTTGTTCCAGCCGGGCATTGCACAAACAAACGTAGGCAAATGCAGCGTGTACCGAACGCGCAATGCAAGATGGCCTCGGGGGCTGTGGTGTTCTTTACTGCGAGAGGTGGGTTGTGGCCGTTGTAGCATTTTGTTCGTGCCTGTTTGCGGCTGATGAGAATGAAGAGGCTATGTCGGGCCAGCTCCACAAAGGTGGGGTTGACAGATGCATTGCAGGGCGGGACTTTCACTACAGAGCCGATGGGAGTGCACGCTTTTTCTGACGCCCCGAAGAGTCTAAACCACCAGATTTTGTTTTCCGCCGTGCCAGGGAAGGAGAGGTCCGACTTCCGACTGCCTGGATTGTTCTTGCGGGTTGGGACTTGTTCCGTTGCTTTTGCATTTTACGGGTCTAGAATTGGTATCCCCGTGCCCGAGGGGGGGGAACTTGTGAGTCTTGAGCCATCTTGAGCCCCTGTCACCAAAGCGAGTGATGTGGTGCCCGCACAGGTTTCGGGGGGCACCGTGACGAGACTCTCTTTCAACCGGCGCCGGAAAACGGAAAAACGGAAGGGAAGGGGGAAGAAGAACAGGAAGAGCGTGTGTCCCCTGAGTTTGTCGCTGTATTTTCACTTCGACTCAATCAAAGCGTGTGCCTGTGCGCAATGTGTGCGTGTGAAGGCGTGTGAAGGCGTGTGAGCGCGTGCGAGCGCGTCATCGTGCGGCATTGAAGCGTCACTATGAGCGTCTCCAGTGTCCCTTGTGCGAGGTGGGGAAAGGCCTGAACGTGAAGGGCAAGTCCGCCAAGAGGGGCGCCGGGAACCGAGTAATTTGGAACCGACATGTGTCGACATGTGTCGAATTTCAGGCTTCGGACTGAGAGTTTTTTTTTGTGACTCTCTTTTGGACTCTCCTTCGTTGGGGCTGCTTCTTCTCCTGCTGTTCAGGTGCTCTCGGGCTTCGTGCCCTTCATCCAGATCTCCGACAACGACCACCGCACCATCATCGAGCAGCCCCCAAGCTCGAAAAGAAAGAGGAGAGGAGGAAGAAGAATTTTGGAGTTTGAGATGTAGTATGTTTATATGATGCTTACAAATGTTTATATATGTTTGTCTCTCTCCTGCTCTCAGCTGCTCTCCTGGAGTCTCTCTGAGACTTGGAGTCTACCTCTCTTTCTCTCTCTTTTTTCTCTCTCTTTTCTTCTCTCTCTCTTTTTTTCTTCTCTCTGACTTGGTTTTTAAAAAGAAAGCTCCTCCTGGGGCGCTCAGAGAGGTCTCCACGGGACTCGCGCGTGACCGTCTACTACAAGACAAAGGCGACCGCCCCCCTGCAGTTGCTCTCCCCCCCACCCCCCCTCTCACTATCTCTTGAGCATCTCTTCAGGATCTCATCTCTCCCACTTATCAGACCACAGGGTGTTTAAAGTCTTCCCAAACCACTTGCCTCCCCCCGACTTCTTCCGACTTCTTTCTCTCTTCTCCCACCTTCCTGCCGCGCGAGGCCTCGCGGCAAGAGGCGCAGAAGCTTCTGCAGGCGCGCGGACACCCCCTCACGTGCCGCCCTCATGCGGCTCATGTGACCGCATGTGACCGCATGTGACCGCAGATGGCAGAGTGCAAGAGCGAAGAACTTACAGATGCAGCACGATCACAGAGCAAAGAACAGAGAGAGAGAGAGAGAGAGAGAGAGAGAGAGAGAGAGAGAGAGAGAGAGAGCGAGAGCGAGAGACAAAGGCGGAACCGAAAACAGCATAAGCGGCACGACAGCGAGACAGCGAGGGGCGGAAGCACGTGGGGCAATGGAATGAATGGAGTGTGTGCAGAAGAAGCTCACACTCTCAACGAGTGTGATTCAATGTGCGCGAGTGGCGCATAGTGGGGCGCACCGCGCTGTAGTTGTGGACAGCCTTGTTCGTCACTTTTGGAGCCTGGTTTGTTGTTCACGTTTCAACAGGGCTGACAGTTACGAGGATAAAGCGCGAGGGGTTCCCCAACCTCGTAACTGTCGTCACTTTTGAAGCTTGGCTTGGCGTTGAGGCTTGCGCCGTCCTCCTAATTCGCTGTCAAAGCATTGTTTGTTGTTCCGGTCTCAGAGGGCCGACAGGTGGGGCGTGCCGTCCTCGTAACCGACTTTTAAACTTCGTGTTTCGTTCCGAGGATATGGCATGTGGGGCATGTGGGGCATGTGGGGTGCGCCATCCTGATAACTGTCATCGTCTAAGCTTCGCTGTTCGCGCCTCCAAAGTGCAAACAGGAGTGGGGTGCGCCTCGCAATCGTCTCCTCATTTTTGAACGTTGGTGTTCACACCATGAAAGTGTGCACAGTTGCGAGGATGAGGCACGCAGGCTGCGCCATCCTCGTAACTGTTGAACTTGAGCAGGTGTAGATGCCTCAACAGCCAATTGAGATGGACACAGAGAACTGAGAGAGAGAGAGAGAGAGAGAGAGAGAGAGAGAGAGAGAGAGAGAGAGAGAGAGAGAGAGAGAGAGGAGAGAGAGGAGAGAGAGGAGAGAGAGAAGAGAGAGAGGCCAAAAGAAGAGAGAGAGAGAACAGAGGGGGATCAAGGGTGGGGGTTCTAAGGAGCGGATCGGGGGGGAGGGCTGAGAGGAGCAGGCTAGAGAGAGAGAAAGAGAGACAGATAAGAGAGGGATAAGGGAGAGAGGTAAGAGAGAGACAACGGAGAGATAACAGAGAGATAACAGAGAGAGAAAGAGCGAGAGAGAGAGAGAGAGAGAGAGCGAGATGCGGGTTGCCTTCTCTGGTCCCTCAAGCCCAGCAAAAGCAGAAGAAGAGAGAAACAGAGCGAAAGAGAAAGAGAGATGTGCCCCAAGAATTAGTTCTGCTTGCAGGGAGGTGACGTATGCTGCTGCATGAAAATGTGTGGCCGTCTTTTCTTAAGTGTTTCAGGTGGTAGGTTCCCATGGATTCTTCCTCTTCGGTCTGGGGAGCGGCCGGGCTTTTCGCTGGCTGGATCATCCGGGGTTGGTTTCGACAGGACAGTCCGAAGTGTCATTGCGATTGCCATTGTGCCCATTCGTATCGTGAAAAGGATTCGGGTTACCCAGGGGCACTCACCCTGTTGGCATTCCTTGTATCTCTCTGCTTGATTACAGCGACTGGCTTTGCTTGGGCTTTCAAGGTCACCGTAGTGAAGAAAGGAGAGGAGCGCGAGGTGGCAGTGCACTTAAAGGGGAAGAGTAAGGGAGTTTACAATCCAGCCCGAGCTCTTCAAATCACAGATTGATGGCAATCAATGTGGGTGATGTCGTGTACATGGACTACGGGGAGGCACCTCAGTGTGTACACTCCAGACTAGTGTTGGCCGAAGTGGATGCCAGCACGCATGAGTTCGTGATCCTTACGCCAGATCTCGACCAGTACATAGAGATACTTCACGCTTCAAATCCCGATGTTCGGTCTTTCCATAGGGGCGGAGCTGCCGGGGGACTGCCCAGGGGGGTCCCAGCTGCAAGTATATATGGCTTTGCGCCGATGACAGCTCGAGATTACAGTGGCCATCTCAGAGCTGGCCGACGAGAGGCGGATGCTGAGCGCCGGCGTCGAGGACTGGGCGCTATGGATCCAGCCCCTGCCGCTGGCGGTGCGGCAGACCCAGCAGGCGCAGGAGTCGGAGATGTGGCAGGACCTCCCGCCGGTGATGCAGGACTTTGGGTGCTTGCTGAAATGGTTGGGGGGCACAAGATAGGCGAACGTGTTGCTGTGCCGGATGGCATGGTGCAAGAAGCCGGCTGGGGCCTCTGCTCTATGTCCGATGACAAAGGTGTCACCCGTCCATGTCTTGTAAGGCGCTTACGCGAGGACGAGATCCCAAAGTTCTGTGAGGAACGCATCGCACTCGCCCGCAGCTCGATTGCTCTTGAAGGTGACGACTTCGCTGCTGCCGAGGATGCTCGAACCATTGAGATTCGCTATGGGTTGAATGGGGAGCGGCTTCGCAACTTCAAGGAGACCATCAGTGAGTTAGTTGAAGTCGACTTCAACGACTTCCCTTTTGAGCCAAGGACGGCGCTACAGTATGTCAAGGCGGTGGCCTCCGTCGCCGAGTCATGCTATGCTCAACACTTGTCATGGGTTGCTCAGTCAAAGATTCCTGAGGGAGACAGGGCCATCCACGAGGACGAGGTTCTCTCTCGAGTCCTTGATGCAGCCGTAACCTACGATGGTCTCAATGTGGCAAACCTCGCATCGTTCGAGCTCATAGTGAGACGCAAGCAGTTACTGGCAGAAGCTCATTCTTACAATCCCTCGGCGCCTTCATATGATGGGGCTGACCATTTCATGGGCACCACATTCCGGCCCGGAGGTGGCATTGTCATTCCTGTCTTGACGGAGTTTGTCTCGAAGCGAATGCAGCAAGAGTCCCAGATCCTGAAGGAGCGCCGAAGGCTTAGTGAAGCCAAGGGCAAGGGGCGTACCGGAAAGCCATCCCCCAAGGGAGCCGGAGACGGAGCTCCAAAGGGGGAGGTGAAGAAGTAGCTCAGGGAAGGAGGTGCTCTGCTGGGCGCAGTTGGGCAGAGCACTCACCTCGTTTTCAACTGCCGGGATTTTCTCCGCATTATGGTTTTCCACAGCAAGATTTTTCATGAGCCCAGGGGAGCCGACGGTAGGCATCGTGATATTTTCCCTTTGCCTCTGGTTGAGCTTCCTGAAGCCCCCGCCGCGGGCTCAGTCGGGCTGTGGCACGCCGTGTGCACACCAGTGTGCACGTCATGAAGCGGGTGAATTTGGCAATCGCCGCGCTGAATACCCTTTTCTTTGGTGGGGAAGGTCGCTTCCAATCTTCCAGAGCGGCCTCGATGGAACAGCTTCCTCGTGCACAGTTTGAGGCAGTGAAGGGGCTTGTACAAAAGATTCGGAATTTTGGGGCACCCCCACCTGATGCTTGTCGCCAGGGAGCCCTTGCGGCGCTCCGGGCACCTGCCTCTGGTTACAGCATTCCAGAGGCGGGGGTGGGAGACGTGGTTGATATGCAACTGGGAGCATTGTCACTTCCGTCGGGCACGGTTGCAGGTGTGGACTTGAGTTCGCAGCTTCCTAAGCCGCTTCGTGAAATGGTGAACAATTTCGAGGATTGGCTTCTTCGAGATGCGGACTCGTGGGCTCAGGTCAGTCATTTGGCATCCTCACTTCGGCCGTATAACGATCCCAGCCTGAATAGACGGTCAGGTTACCTGCAGTTCCTAAAGCATCTCAGGCAATGTGGAATCCTGGGCTTGTCCACTCGTGTTCGGGGGAGGGTCGGTGCTTTTACTGTTGCAAAGAAGGACAAGGTCGTCAATGGGCAGAAGGTCAAAAGACAAAGACTGGTTCTTGACTGCCGCCAGGTGAACTTGCAGTTCAAGACGCCGCCTCATGTGGAGCTAGGCTCGCTGTCGGCACTTACTGAGCTGGAGTTGGGGGACAGTCAATGCTTGTATACCTCGGGGTCGGACATACAAGATTGTTTTTACGCCTGCTTCCTCCCGAAGGGCCTCGAGGAGTTCTTCTGCTTAGCGTCGGACCTCACTCCGGACGAAGCAGCAGAGGTCTTCGGAGGGTATGCGTACGAATATTCACAACGGGATCGTGTATCCCCTTGCATCACAGTCCTCCCGATGGGGTTTAATTGGTCATTCTATTTGGTACAGAAGCTCCATGAAGGAGCCAGTCTGGATGCACTACAAATACCTCGTAGCCAACTCGTTCTCGACGGTTACCCGGCACCCCCTGTGGCAGGTGATGCAGTCATTTCCATGCCTTACTGTGACAACGTCCATTGTATGGGCAGCTCTGCTGAGGCTTGTGGGCAGGGGGAGATGAAGATTTGTGATAGGCTTGTCGAGATGGGTTTTACGCTTCATGAACATGAGCCGCCATCGTTGGTATTTCCTACACTTGGGGGAGTGATTGATGGGGAGCGCGGAGAGATTCGCACTACTGCATCTCGGGCGTGGAACCTGATTTTCGCTTTTGAGTATTTGATCGAAAACGTCGTCACCACTGATTTGGTACAAAGATTGCTAGGTCATGCGATGGTGGTGTGTGTGCTGAACCGCTGTGGGATAAGTGTTTTCAGGAGGCTTTACGATTTCATCGAAAAGGCGGACTCACCAAGGAGACTCACAAGAGAAGAGGCAAGTGAGTGCAGGGTTTTTGTGGGTCTGATTCCTTTATTGGTGGGCGATCTTCGGAGAGGTTGGTCTCAAACGATTACGGCTACCGATGCCTCGCCTGAGGGTTATGGAGTTTGTGAGCGTGAGTGTGGCGTCGAGGATGTTCGTAGTGTCGGAAAATGGAGCGAGAGATGGCGTTTTCGTCGCCTCCCTCCCGAGGAGTGGCAGCCGCGCCGGCGAGCCACAGGACTCAATCCTTTCTCCGACATTTCAACAGGGGGTGCATCTGGCGAGACAAGTGATCCTTTGGAATACGTTTCGAACGAGCTGTTTCCTGAAGTTCCTTTTTCCCTCATGGAACCTGAGGCCTGGCATACAGTGCTCATGGGAAGATGGCGCGTGGCAAGTGAACACATCACTCTCAAGGAGGGTCGTGCTCTCGTCTTAGCAGCTAGGCGCTTGGCCAGAAACTCCAACAATAGACGCAAGAAGCACCTCGTCATTGTCGATAACATGGCCTTGGCTTTTGCTGTCACAAAGGGTCGAGCTACAAATTTTGCCCTATTGCGTATTATTCAGCAACTTAGCGCACTTTCCTTGTTAGGGGATTTCCAGCTTCGTGTTCGGTGGGTGCCTAGCGAATGGAATGTCGCGGACGGGCCGAGCCGTGGACGCATCCTCCCGAGTTCTCAAGATGAGCTGGGGACCTCGAAGCAGCCAGCCAACATCAGTTCGAAACCTGAAGATCCCAATGAAGGCGACTCCAGGGAGCTCATCGGCAAGTGCGCTGAAAACCGGGAACAAGCCAGTCAAGAAGGCCATTCAGAAGGAGCGGGTCTTGGTGTCCGCTTCAAAAATGGCGACTACCAAGAGCGCGCGAGCTTTGGCCGTGAAGCGCGAGAGGCCCAAGAATCTGGGAAAACTTGCCCAGAAGAACCAGTTGTCCTTCTTAGAGATGAAGAGTGTTTCAACGGAGGTGGCGGACCAGTACCTGACGTACTTCAAGAAATTCGAGAGTTTCTGCCGGGAGCAAGGAGTTTCAAAGCTCGCGGCAGGGACGGTCGACGTGTACCTCACGGACTACTTGGACCTCCTCTTCTTCGAGGGGAAGGGGTTGAGCGAGGCGGAGAAAACGGTGGCCGGGGTAGAGTTCTATTGCCCAGACAGCAAGGGGCGGATTCCCAGGAGTCGCAGAGCCCTCAAGGGCTGGCGGAAGGAATCACCGCCGGCCAGTCGTTTGCCACTTCCTTTGTTAGTGGTGTGTGGAATCATCATGGTCCTGTTGAGGAGACGGCTCAGGCAGATGGCCCTGATGGTGTTACTTTGTTTCGATGCGTATCTCCGCCCAGGAGAGGCATTCACCCTGATGAAGAAGGACTACGTGGCACCCGTTCGAGGGGCTGGGAGCCAGTATGCAATGCACGCCATCGTGATTCGGGACATCGAGGATTCTACGCCCGACAAGGTGGGAGTCTTCGACAACACCATCTTGTTGAACAGCAAGGGTCGGCTGTGGCTGGGGGAGCTCATCAAGGAGCTTGCCCACATGCGAAGCAAGAAGGACGATCTCCTTTTCGACTTCACCCCCCAGATGTATCGCGACGCGCTTGCAGCAGCAGGAAAAGAGTTGGGGCTGGAGGGACTTCATCCCTACCAACTCCGGCACGGAGGGGCGGCAGAGGACCTGAACTCGAAGGAGCGGGACTACAACGCCGTGAAGGCGCGAGGACGGTGGCAGACCGACCAGTCAGTGAGACGATACGGCAAGATAGGGAAGATCCAGAAAATCCTCAACCAGTTATCGTCCGGCGATCTGGCGTACTGTCGATGGTCACTCCACAATATGGAGCAGGTGTTCAAGGGTCGGATGGCTCCTCGCTAAATCAGCGCATGAGCAGTGATGTTTTCAGACTCTCACCCCTGCCGCAACGGTTTGCCCTCGAGGTGTTCGCCGGGACGGCTCGTGTGACTACTGCTTTGATTAACGCCGGCGTCCCTTGTTTTCCAATTGACATTTGTCTTTTCAATGGACATGATGTTCTTAACAGTGAAGTTGAGCACAAAATTCTATCCTGGATCAGGTCGGGCCGTATCTTATTTATTTGGCTGGGAATGCCGAGCACTTCTTTCTCTCGAACTAGGCAGCATGACAGTTTTGGCCCTGCGCCAGTGCGAAGCGATAGCGCTCCCGAAGGGCTAAACGGGCTCAGCCTTGCCGACAAAAAGAAGGTGGTCACAGGAAATCGACTTCTGTATTTCACGCTCCGAGTGATTCGTACATGTCATTCTTTTCAGGTGCCCTATGCTGTTGAGAACCCACGTTTTAGCAGAGCTTGGGATATGAGATGTATGCAGCGTTTCATTTCTCAATGTCATCCAGGTTGGGTCGTGTTTGATTTCTGTCAGTACGGGGAGCCGTGGCGCAAACCTACTGGACTACTTTTTCAGCACATTGATTTCTCAGCACTCCATGCCGAGTGCCATCCCCAGCAAGGATTTTGCAGTCATTCCAAACGTCCACACATCTGCCTGAAAGGACGTGTTGAGCAGGGCAGCCTCCTCACGCTGAAGGCTCAGCCTTATCCGTATGCTCTCGCCACAGTGGTGGCAGATGTGGTGGCCAAGGCCCTACGGGGGTACGGGAACAGGGGGCTCACATTTTGATCATCGATTGCGGTGATCTTGATCTGATCTCGATCTTTACCTCCCGATGAGGGCCTGAGAGCCCAAATGATTGCGATGATTTCTTTTCCAAACACGCTGCAACGATCAAGTGTGCATCTGGCCAAAAGTCTGTGATGCGGCCTGCATGTAGTCATTAGTTCTGCTTGCAGGGAGGTGACGTATGCTGCTGCATGAAAATGTGTGGCCGTCTCTTCTTAAGTGTTTCAGGTGGTCCGCCATCCACCCCGCCTCCACACAGGGGGCTCACATTTTGATCATCGATTGCGGTGATCTTGATCTGATCTCGATCTTTACCTCCCGATGAGGGCCTGAGAGCCCAAATGATTGCGATGATTTCTTTTCCAAACACGCTGCAACGATCAAGTGTGCATCTGGCCAAAAGTCTGTGATGCGGCCTGCATGTAGTCATTATTACGGGGGCTCTCTCTATCTTTCTTATAATGCCCCCTTTAATACTAATAATAATACGCTTACAAGACGAAGAGAACAGAGTGAACGCAGTAAATTAATACGGTTATAAGTGAATGAAATAAGCGCATGAACCGTATTAATATTAGTGCGTAAACTCGTGAACGAAGCCCGGGGTAATAATAATATTTTTTTTTGCGACCGCCGAAAGCGTCCCGAGTCCCTACGACGTCAGCTACCTAGACTCCTACGGAGCGCTAGCGAAGCGGCAGCCGACTGGGGGCGCTCGCACTCGCCAGGTCGAGCACGTCGCTCAACGGGAGCGTGTCTGGCGCGCCAGGCAGCGGCGGCATTGTCCAGACGCCAAGCGCGGAGCTGGCGACTGCTCGCTGCAGGGCAACCGACAACACACTCCACCAGCGGCGCGCCCAGCCCTGGGCGGCTGAGGCGCGCAAGGGTGGCGGGGCGCGCTGGACGCGGAGCCGGAGCAGGGTGCGGAGGAACTGTTGGCACTCGTCGCTCCATCGGCCCCCTACTTCAGCAGCGAGGACAACCAGCCGCTGAGGCCCCCCTCGCGTCAGCTCCGGGTACCGTGCCACCTTGCGCCTGCGTGCCGTAACAAGCGCGACCCCCGCCCGAGCGTCGGCCCCGGGGACGGGCCGACCAGTGCGAGTGAGAGGGGAGACGAGCGTTGCGTCGCAGCACAAGGCCTCGCCGTTGGTCGTTGCCCCGTACACAACGAAGTCGAGGCGGCGACGGTCGTCGGCCCGGACGTGCGCCGCTGTGGTGCGCGACAGCCACTGCTGCGGCACGACCCGACCCTCAGGACCGACTGCCTCGCGGGCGACCTGGATCCACGCCCTCTCCACGACGAATCCGCGTCGAGGCAGCAGACCCGTGCGGGGGCAGACGAGGTGGTGGTCTCCACACGCATCGACCTCGCCCCCACAACCATATCGGCCTGCCGCTCCACAGCGCCGGTCCGTGAGGGGCAGGGGCAAGCGAAGGCGGCGCCGCATTGCGACGTGCATGAGGTCCGGTGCGAGGGTGGACGCCGCATCCGAAGGTATCGCGGCTAGCCACATACCGGCATGCGGACCGGATTGAGAGTGGAGGAGGGCTCGAGCGGCAGGAGCCAAGGCCGGTAGCAACGTGCGTTCTCGGAAGGAAGTGTGAAGTGCGAGAACGGCATGTCGCTGCCAACCAGGGCTTCCGAGGCCGAGTTCACCCTCAGCCGCTGGGACGTCAGCGCCTCGGGCGCAAGATTCCCAGTCGGGTCTGCTCTCCCAGCCCTCCGCAGTAAGCTGGTGCGCCGCCTCCGCAGCCGCGTGCAGGCAAGGTGCCGACGGTGCGCCCTCGAGCTCGCGCACGAGCCTGTCCGCTGCGTCGGGGTAACGTTGGCGCAACACCGGGAGCGCATCTGCCCACGCCGCCCAGTATGCTGCCGGTGCTACCCGCTCAGCTGCCAAGAGGCCTAGACCTCCCAGGCTCGGCGGCAAAAAAGCAACGCTGCGAGCAGCCGCCCAGGCGTCCCCTTCGCCGGGCCCCTGGTCGCCCAGCAGACCTTGAACGACGGCCCAGACCGCGTCGTCGTGAGCGCGAGCGTACGGCAGTATGTCTGCAGGGGGGATGTTGCGGAGCAGATGCTGGGCGCGGGGCGCCGCGCAAAAAGCGAGCAACAACCAGGCGCTCTGGAGGTCGGGGAGGCGCTCTAGTTTCCGGAGCAAGTCGTCCTGGGCAGCAAGGCGGTCAGCGGCCTGGGCGGCGACGAAGTCGGGGTGACCGATGGGCACTCCCAGGGCGACGAAGCCACGCTGCGCTGGGGGCAGGTTGCCACACCAAACGTCCCGGCCCAGGTCGTCGATGCCGGGCGGGGCATCCCCGCCTGCCGCGTTGTAGACTCGCGTCTTGCCCAGGTTGGCCTCGACCCCCGCGCCTCGCTCGACCTCGCCGGTAACAACATGCAGGAGCGGCGCTGCGCGGTCCGGCCGTGTGACGACGTAGAGGTCGTCCAGGAAAGCGGCGAGGCGCTCCGTGGGCTGCAGGGAAGCACTCGCCGCCACTAGCGAGTCGTGCTGGCCAAGGGCGTAAAACCCCGGCGCCAAGGGGTCGCCCTGCTCGACGCCTTCAGCTTGCGCGATCTCGTGCACACGCCCCTCGTCGTCCCACCACAGGTACGTGGAAGTACGCGCGTACATGGCACGGGCGAAGGGCACAAGCGCCGGGACCGTATCGCGCAGTTTGGCAAGTATGGTTGCGCGGCTGATGGTGTCGTAAGCGCTGCGCCCATCCAGGGAGATGACCGTGGCCTGCGGGTCGAGTTCAACAGCCGCACGAAGCATCGCCGCCAAGCTGTCGGTACCGGCACGAGTCTGCAGCGCGAACTGAAACGGCCGGGTGGCTGAATCAAGCTCCCCACTGAACGCGCGTGCGAGTGCGCGGGAAACGAGGCGCCGAAACACGTCCCCTGTGGCGATGCCGCGGACACCTCCGTTGGGTTTCCGGAGGGCAGTCAGCCGCGAAAGGGCCATGGCGTCCAGCGCTACTTGCGGGGCTTGCGCGCGGGCGGCGACGTTCACTGCGTAAGTAAAGGCTTCGAGCGCCGCCGCATCGTCCAGGAGCAGCTTGTAGAGCTCCACGGTTGCGCCCGAGAGGCCTGCGGCCGAGCCGCGCTTGGAAGTGCGCAAGGCCTCCCCAACCTGGTGCGTCGACAAAAGAACCTCCTCGGCAGGCCTGAACTGCAGAACCTCGGGGGCTGTGGCACGCAGCGGGTGCGGCGGGCGCCTCGCCGGGTCCGTCAGCGCCGCAAGCGTTTTCGGCATTGCCGGGGGCGAGGGCCTCCGAGGTCAGCACTTGGCGTGCGCGCGAAAGTTCGCCTCGCCGGACTTTGGCACAGGCTGTGGCTGCACGTGTCTCCTCGGTGTCCTCGCTGCGACGACGGGGGCGTGCTTGCTCGCGCACCGCCACGCATTGGGCGTGCAACGCGTCCAAGCGGCCTTGGCGGAGCAGCTCAAGCCGGTGCAGGAGAGCTGCACGGCCTTCGGATCCTGACTGAATGGAACGCGCGAGGAGCAGCCGCGGCAACAGGAGGAAGAGCTTCCACGCCCGAACTCGCGCCACCTCGTCGCGACCTTCGTGCGCAGCGCGGATCGCCTCAAGCGCACCGACGAGTGCTTGGCGCACACCGGCGACGAGAAACCGCGGCACAGTCTGAAGCGTGGGAACCGGGCTGCGAAACTCGGCAAGGAGGTCCAGGGTATCGAGCCATCTACCGGCCTCACGCGTGAGGGTAGCAGAGGTACCGGCAGGGCGTGCCGCCGGGGCGGCCGCAGCTCCCTCCGTTCCGTCGCTGTCTGCAGCCGCACGGTCCTCCTCCAGCGTCGGGTGGCCAGGTGGAGCGGGTGCAGCACTCGCGTTCTCGCGTTCGCAGCCGTGGCGCGAAGGTGCCTCCGCTGCGCCGGGCGCGTCGGCAGCACCCGTCAGCCCGCCAGCGGGATCGGGCGGTGGGCTGCGCGGCCGTTGGCGGAAGCGATCGGAATGTCGATCCACCTCTAGCGCGAACGCCTGGCCGCCGTAGCACTGCAGCAGAGCCTCTTGCACAGTGGCTATCAGGTAGCCGTCGGGCTCACACAACTGGCGGACTGCCCAGCCGACATGGACGAGGGCGCTGTTGGGCAGGCCTGCATGTTCGAGGCGCTGAAGGAGGTCCGGCAAGTGACGGACATGAGCCGGGGCCGCCTCGGTTGCATGCCTGACCGCTTCCGCGAGCACCTGGGGCGCAACCGGACTCGACAGCATCAACAACCGTCGGGCCGGTTCCCACCAGTCTGCTGCCCGAGGGTCGGCACGCCAAGCCTCAACAGCAGGAGACGCGAGGTCGGCAGCGGCAGCCTGCAGCAGCGGCACGTACAACCAGGAATTGGTGGCCTCCTGTACGTGACCCATGGGCGGTCCCCGTGAGAGCCAGTATGCTCCCCTGCTCGCTGGGGGGGGAGCGGTTGCCTCGCGAGGCGCCGGAAGCGTGCCACGCGACACTGGCGGGGCGAAAGCACGGGCCGATCCAGCACAAGCTGGCGTGCAGCTGAGCTGCCCCTGTCCAGTCGCGCGGTCGTACTCCCATTGCAGCGCACGTCCGCAGTGGCCACACGGCTGCCCTGCCTCTGCCGGGACGTCGAGGTCCGCGAACCTGACTTCCTGCGCGCACCCGTGGCAAACCCAACTCGGTCGCCACGCCGCTATGCCCGCCGCATGCCGGTAATAATAATATTAAAACTACGTAGAGAGTGCATTATTTATTATATTATAACGAGCCCGCGAGGCATGAATATAATGAATAAGGCATGAACGAAGTACAGGAACAAAGTGAATGCAGCATATTTTGTATTACTAATGAAATCTCATTTACAATCATATCCTTGTCCTTTGATCATAAATTGTTTTTGGAATATTGGTTTTTTATTAAGGATTACTATTTTATTACAAATTATTACAGGAATCTTCTTAGGTTTACATTATACATCAGATATTCATTCAGCATATTTTTCTCTTTTTTCTTTTAATTAGAGAAATATATTATGGATGGTGTTTACGTTATCTTCATTCTAATGGTGTATCATTTGTCTTTCTTTTTATATTTCTTCCTCTTGGCAGAGCTATATCTTATGCTTCATATTTTTATAATCCAAATACTTGGTTTTCTGGGATTATTATTTACTTCTTCTTAATGGGAACAGCATTTATGGGTTATGTTTTACCTTTAGGACAAATGAGTTTATGAGGAGTTACAGTAATTACAAATTTATTATCTCCATTTCCATCTTCAATAGAATGGCTTTGTGGAGGACATTATATATACAATCCAACATTAAAGAGGTTCTTTGTCTTTCATTTTCTATTTTCATTTATTCTTTGTGCTTTTCTTCTTTTTCATATTTTTAATCTACATTTTCTATCTTCTAATAATCCTTTAAGGAATTCCACTAATAATAAAATAGCATTTTTTCCTTTCATTATTAGTAAAGATTTCTATGGAAAGATATTAATTCTCCATCTATATCTTCTTCAAATTCATTTCGGCTTCTCTTTTTTCTCACATCCAGATAATGCATTAGAAGCATGTGGATTACTTACTCCTTTACATATAGTACCTGAATGGTATTTCTTATGCCAATATGCTATGTTAAAAGCTGTACCAAATAAAAATGCAGGATTCATTATCTTATGTACTTCTATCTTCATCCTATTTTACTTTATGAGAAGTCTTTCAATGTCATTCTATTTTATAATTAAGACGTCCAGTAGATTTAATGGTTTTTATCTGTGCTTTTGGTTTCTTTCACTTTTTTCTTTTATTTGGATAGGTGGTCAATTTCCTGTAGACAACTTTCTATCTTATGGTCGTATCTTGACATTACATTATTATCTTCTTATTTTCTGGTGTGTACTTCGTTGTGTTCTTTCGCTCAGTATATTCGCTCTTTCACACACTTCATACTATTATTCTATTATCTGTACACGCGGCAATAAGTTTATTCGTGAAGCCGCGATAATAATTATATTGTAAGGGCTTATAATTTAGTATATTTTATAAGGATTACGCATGAAAATATACTAAATTACTAGCCCGTTAAAAGACCAAAAATTTAATATGGAAATCATGCGTCTTTCATCCTTATATTTCCATTATAAATTTATTGGGCTTGGCCCGAACGGTACAAACTACTCGTGGAGCATGCAGACGCCCGGTCCCTGCTCGCTGAGGCGGGGACGAGTCTGGCCTGAGGGGATCTGCCGCGCGAAATGACTCTCGACCGGCCTCGCTCTTCAGCTCGCAACACGGCGCAAGCGTCGCGACACCTACCCCGAGCTGTCGCGCTCGCCGCGCTGCCACCTCGTGATCTTCGCTTCCGAGACCGGTGGCCACTGAACCCCTGACTCCGCAGCCTTCCTGCGGCTCCTTGCACAAGCGCGCGCCTCGAGTGCGCACGCTGCCGTCCATTCGGCTCTGCGTGCAGCCTACATCCGCTGGAGTGGCATCATCGCCATGGCAGCGCCAAGGGCTCACCAGCTCACCCTCTCGACGGTGAGCCGGCCGTGCACGAGGTCCTGCAAGACCAGCAATGGCTCGACGCCCCGCAGGCCCGAAGCCCATTGGACTCACAATGTGGATCCAAACTGGGGTCCCCCCCCTTAACCCCCCCAAAACAGATCAGGTTTCGCTGGGTATTAAACGAAAGCCCCGCTCAAATTTGAGGGGGGGGGGGGGGGGGTCGGTCGGTCTCTCTCTCTCTCTCTCTCTGTGTCTCTCTCTCTCTCTCTCTCTCTCACTCTTTCTCTCTCTCTCTCTCTCTCATTCTTTTTCTCTCTCTCTCTCTCTCTCTCACTCTCTCTCTCTCTCTCTCCGTCTTTTTTTTATCTTTATCTTTTTGTTTCTCTTACTCTTTCTCTCTCTCTCTCTCGCTCTGTCTCGCTCTCTTGCTCTTTTTCTTTCTCACACACACACACACTCTCTCTCTCTCTCTCGTTCTCTCGTTCTCTCTCACTCTCTCTCTCTCTCTCTTGTTTCTGCGTTTCTGTCACTTCTTTCACGTCTTTCTCTTTCCACTTATTCTTCACATTCTTTATTATCTTTCTTTCTTCTCCTGCTTTCTTATCTTTCTATCTTCTCTTGCTTTCTTCTCTTTCTGTCTTGTCTTTCTGTTTTCTCTTGCTTTCATCTGTCTCTGTCTTTTGTTTTCATTTCTTTTCTTTTCTTTTCTTATCAGTCTTATCTTTCTTGTCGTTCTTATCCTTCTTATCTCTCTTATCTGTCTTATCTTTCTTGTCTTTCGTGTTTTTCATATCTTCCCATCTTTCTTTTCCTTTATCTCTTTTAATTCTTTTACTGTCTTTCTTTCTTTCTCCTTTTTGTTCTTTTATTTTTTCTTTTCTTTTCTTTTCTTTTCTTTTTCAATCTTCACCTTCAGCCCGGGGATTCTGAATTGAGTGGGGGTTGATAGTCGAGCTTGGCATGAAAGGGCTCCTACCACAAGGCCAGCCGCTGACAAACCTGCTTCTGCTCGCTTGCTCATCGTGAAGCGCATGGCCTCCATGCATGTGTAGAGCCTATCAAGTTTAGCTTGTGGTGAGAATGGCAAAAATCACGGCTTTGCACTTGGAAATAGCATGACTTGGTGTTGGCTTGTTTGTTTAAAGGCTTCTGCGGCGCTTGCGGTCGGTACTAAGGTCTTGCCCGACAGTGAGAGCTTGGGAGTGGTGGATGTGCGGGCCACGAGTGGCAGATGAGTGGCAGGAGACACTGTTTTTTTCTGTTTTTTTGGCGGTGTCTTTTGGTGTGGTTCCCCATGTGCATGAGGTCAAGGAACTCATGCTGGACCGTGGACCGTTGCCTCGGACCTAAACACCGAGTGCCATTGCCAGTGCAAGAGCACCACATGGCTTTGTGGAAGACGTGCACTCGCGCCGTGCATGACAGGCGTAAGTTCAAAAATTAGATCTCGCGTGATCAACGTTTCCGACAGCAGGATTCACCTGTATTCTGGTCGTGGGTGTGCCATCAGTTGCTTTTCGAGGGATAGTGCGTCAGAACCTCGTCCGCCATGGGCTGACCGAAAGTGGCTGCGTGGATGGTACGCAGCGGGCTGGCATGTCGCAACTTGCCTTCAGCGCGATTGATCTTAAGTCTTAAGTCATGTGTCCATCACGTACGACAAATTCGGACATGCGACAGGGATGTGCCTGTGCCCGGTGAGACTGCGCCGTGGGCCGTGCACGACTCTTTCAGAGCAGGCGCGTGCGGATAGGAGACGCTAGCATGGAGTATCGTCATGATGGAACGCCGCATATGCTACGACAGGACTGCGTGATGAAAGTGCGTCCAGGACATGACGGGCCCCTGATATGGCGCACGTCATCTGTGTCATTCCGTGTCTTGAGGAGCGCTTCTGCATCATCGAGCCGGCGGAAGGCTGGGCCGCCAACTGGTGCTGCAGCGCGCGCTGGCAACATGCCAAACAAAGCGCAGCAGGCGCCTGCGTTCCGGTAACTATTGCGAGCACTCGAGACGTGATCATCGTTAGCATTGCTGACTTGGCAGGCTTTGCAGCTTCAGATGCGACAGCTGGAGCTAAAACAATTGGCGCTGCGACCTTGGCAACGAATGCCGTGCTTCCACACATCAGTTCAAGTGAATCCTCAGCCCATGCGAGGCTACAAGTGAAGTTGAAGCGACGGCAAGAGGAACAAGCAACTTGATTGGCAAGCGTGGTGTCCGCGCTGAAGCGGACTCGGACAAACATGTGTGCAACCCGAAATGTGGAGACTGGCAAGCATCACTTGTCAGGCCAAAGAGGTGGAGAAGGTTCTTGCAGCTAAGCAGCACCAACTTGAACGCGAACGACAACACGCCTTCCTGAAGGTCTGGCATCCATGGCCATGGCCATCTCTGACATGCACTTAAGAACAGGATTGCGCGCTTGAGAAAGACAGGCTCGCGAGAGGCGGCGCGGTTTGGACTTTAGTCCAGGACGGCTTCGTTGAGACTGCAAGCGCTGCATGAATGCGTGTGGAGTAAGTATGAGTAAGTCGTAGGGGTCGCGGAGGCATTGTAGCCTCCAATTCTCGCTTGCTCAGGAGGAACAGTTCCATCTCCTCGAGCTCATGGTCAACGGTCGCCAGTCGAGTCTGCTGAGGCCAAAGCAATGCATGGAGTACACGGATGGGGGAACGCTCTTTGAAAGGGATGCTGTTAGAGTTTCGGTGCCGTCTGAGTCTTGAGGAGCTCGTGGAAGACAGCGACGGCTCTTCACCGAGGCGATTGGAGATCAGTGTCCGAGATGCACGTGCAATAGAAAAGGAGACTCTTGTCCTGGTTTGCGTAGTCCATGGGCTCCTTCCATTTCCAAGTTGCGTGTATGCCTGACATTCCCTGACGCGAGCGGTGCCGTGGCACGTTTCTTTTGTGCCCGGTTTCTGAGGAGAGAGAAGGCCGCATACAAGGCTCTGATGACGGAGCAAACTGCGCGTCGTGAAGTCGCCGCAAAGGAGGAGGCTGCGTGCAGCGTGACATCAATGCTTGTCCTCCTTGTGTAATTGAATCTTGTGTGTTGCCGTGTGGTCTGTGGCAAGGCGGCCAAGCGAGAACAGGCTGCCAGGAGGATACAGGCGTTTAGGCGTGCCAGCCAGCCACCTGTCCAAATTCAGCACTTTGGCCACTTGCACCAAAATGCATCAAAGCACCTTCTCTTGACCCGCGACTTCACCTGAGGGCGCAGCGACAAAAGGCGCGTGCGACGTCCGATCGCCTGCATCGTCCACCCCGCGAGAAAGGCGGCCTTGAATGGATGTGTAGTGTTTGCGCAATCGCCGGCTGAGAATGAGGAATGATGAGCAACTGCTGCTTCGATTGTCTGAGAGGCTCTCAACATGACAAGGTTGCACCGGGAACGAGCCGAAGCATCAGTCCCCAAAAACGACGGGAAGAGGCTGCCCGAACAGCTTCGACCAAAGGTAGTTGAACCGTTGTGAACGATTCGAAGCACGCCAGCCACGTTTCGACGCAGGCATCACCAGGCAGTGGGCGAGCTGCCTCGGAATCCTTGCGCTTGCCCAGATGCTCGGCAGCACGTTTCCTTTCAACAGATTCTACATACGCCAAGATGGACCTACATTCCACCGTGTTTTGAAGTTTAAGCTTTGTTTCGCCACTGGCAATGTGCCAGCGCTGCAGGACAGGCCGTTCCTCCACGAAACCGGGCTCAGCGAGGCCTTGGCTGGACACAACATGACCAAAAAAAGACCTGACGAGGGCAGACACGCGAGAGTCACAAATGATGGTGTGACCTACCAATGCATGTCCGTCTTTGCTGGTCACGAACTCTCTCGTTCCAACTGCACAGTGCTGGACAGGGGGCTCTACGTCTCGTTCACCCACGCTGCAAGTTAGACAAGAAGGCTACTTGTGCTGGGAAGAAGTGTATCTCGCTTCGTGCGGCCAGGGAAGCATGTAACATGTCATTCATTGTCGCCTGTGCCAAATGGAAGGTGCCGCTGCGCCTGCACAGAGGCCGACACGCCCAGGTGTGGACCGGGCAGGTATGTGCAAGTGCGTTTTCCTGGGCACGGCGTTCAGTGAAGGTTTCAGCCCGAGAGGGGGGCCTCCGAGATCCCAGAGCCCGTGTACAGAAGGCTCGCACTCAGAGCTTGTCAGCTCCCCTGATTCTGGGCCAGTGTGTGAACTGCTGCGCAGACACGTAGATTGTTGCGTGCCAGGCACCAGACGTGCTCGAACACCATCCAGCTTGTCCCCATCACAAAGTCCTCATGGCAGACGCCACGGCAGCTGCCTCGTTCGGCTAAAAAAACTATTCTTGCATGTCTCACCAAATACTGATCAATCCAACAAAAGGTCGTCGGCGGCAGCCGCATGGTCCTTCATCCCACAGTCCAAGCCCGCAAAGCCAGCAGCGTCTGCGAAGTCCCTCCCGGCTCGATGGTGCCAGCCTTGTCAGTCGGCGAACGTCGTTGAACTGGCTGGTTGTTGCTCGTTGTTGGTCAGATTTCTGTGAGGTGCAGCATCAAGCTCATCGCCAATTTTCCTGCTTCCGAACCCTCCCTCCCCACTGGATCAGCATGAAGGCGAGCCCTTAAAATTCCGTCGATTTCGTCAGTTGCCCCTTGCAAGTCGTTGCGGACGCCCGGTTGGATCCCAATGTGAGGTGAGAAATTTCGGCCTCCATGGCTCCCGCCCGGCTCGCCAGAGCACCAGGTGCGCAGAGGCCCTTGAGATTATTTGAGACTGCTGAGACAGGTCGTGTCGTTTCGTTTCGAATGAGCTTGGAATGGCTTGGGACAAATCGTTTGGCCCTTAAGCCTTAAGCTTCGCTTGGTTTCCAAAATAGCCTTGCAGACCTCGATGGCAAGCCGACGTCTCCGCGGCAGAGGATCCAGCCATTGAATGTGATAAAAATACAGAAAAGCGAAGCAGGCCGAAACCCGTCTTTGTTCTGGGTCTGCCTCAGGAGCACAGGACATCGTGTTCGGATGGCTGAGGAGCGGTGCTTAGAAATGCTATGTGCTTAGTCGCTGCAGCGTCATCTTGATTGATTGATGAGGAGCAGGCTAGCAGCGGAGTGCTCCGCAGCGCGTCGCCTATGGAGGCCGTCACCTCAAATTGTCCACATGAGGTGCGCTCCTGTGAACCATCGCAGGTCACGTTTGCGGCACCTGACCGTGTACCTACACGGGCCGCGTCGCCGACAACTTGGAGAAGCAAGCACCCAGGCCCAGAGTTTGAACCGGGGCATACAGCAGAAGAGGATCCAACATTGAATCAATCTGCCCGGGCGAGTCAGGTGTTGCATGTCATCGAGACCAATTTGTGCAGAACCCAATACCTTTTCGAAGCCAGGCCTGAAGGCAAGGCCGTGGGTGTGGGCGCGGCATGCACTCACAATCTTCCCGCAGGGCCATGTGCTGCCAAGCGCGGAGGAAGCGGAGTCTGCTTCTGAGATCTCCTGGACGCATGTTTGGATCCGGAACCACCATGTGCATGTGCAAAGGCGCATGCTGTCCCCGCTGATGGGAGCTTGCCATCCTGAACCGCCAGCAAGAGAGGCTGAAGAGGCGGAAGATGGGGGAAAACCCGGCGCCCCCAATTCTCAGCGGCGAAGCGGAGCCATGCGGAGCCACTCTGCAGGGGCCAGCGCGGCCTTCTCCACGTTCTCCACGCTCTCCGGATAGGTGCCTCATACTAACAGCCCTTGATAGGGATATCGGGGAGTACTATACTCCCATATACTCAGTATACTCCCTTTTAAGGACGGTTAGTATGCTGCCTTTTTGCTGGATGGATCTGCTGTTGGGATCAGCTGCGATGGTGTTCAAGTGCAGGTCTGGAGGAACTGGCATGGCTTGGTGGGTGGACTTTGAGGGCTCGGGTCCTCCTCCAAAGGCCGACACTTGAAGATTTTGCGAATCTTTCGTGCTCGGATCATTTGTGACACTCAAGCTGCGTGAGGATCGCGTGGCGCAAGAGCAACCTGGTGTTGGCAGGACAAGCCCAGCCCCAGCCAGCAGCCCCTCGCCGGCATTCGCTTGGTCCGAAAAGTAAGATTCTATGCTCCCGTGTCACAGGCCGAAGCTTGCGTGGGCAGCCACCATGCGAGCCGGTGGAGCGGAGGATTGCAGAGATGGCAAGGCCACAGAAGTCTTGTCGTTGCATCAGTGTTGCATCTCTTGACCACACTTCGTGCTTCCAAGCTGCTTGAAGCCTTCTGATGATATGCCAGGATTGGAGAGGAAGGGAAAGGGGCATTGGGCCGGGCTTACATCGAGACGGAGGCATTGCGCGGTGGAAAGCTTGCTGGCTGCACTGTGTTGTGGCATGAGCCAAGCTCAGTTTTGTACCACCAGCCGACTCCCTTGGCCCTGCTTGCCCATAGAACAGAACAGCTCTCTTGAACACCCGTTCGTTCTTGCATTTTTGCACTCCAACCCAGTGGTTTGCAGCAACGGCAGCTGCACCCCAGGCTAAACCCAGTCGGCTGGAGTGAGGCGGGCCGGGTGGCATTCGTAACAGCTTCGTATCCCATCCAGTGCTCGTATGTGCTCATGGCGGCACTGGAACTTCTTTGCTCACAGGTCCCGTCAGTTGGAGAGAACTTTGCGCATCGACTTGGCATGTTGCAGCAAGAAGATGTCACGCCGCCTGTGCCTGTGGCTCGTCCCGAAAAGTCCAGCTGAAAAGTACAGCTTCTGCATTGACACGTGCCTTCCACATGATTCTTGTCGTGTGATTGTTGCCGTTGGGGCAGAATCCGAGTCTCGCAATCCCTCAGAGCTGTGGGAGTCCACGACCTAGATCGGTCCAGTGCAGCACTCCAGTGAAACAGTGCTTTCATCTGACACTGATGGTTCTGAAATGTTCCGAGGCATGCAAGAAGTCGGAGTGTAGAAGGTCTTGAGTCTTGAACCTAGATCCAGGCTGCGCGTTCAAAGAACCAACTCCCAGCTGGAGAAGCTTCGGGAAGTAGAGCCTCCACCTCGGATTCGATGAAAACAACAATCTTCTTTCGATCGGTGCGATTCTGCGGTTTGCACAGCTTTCGGCACTCATGATGCCTGACTCAGTCAGTGATGTCAATGCCTTGTTCCATGAACAAACCAAGGCGGCGCAGAAAAGAGACATCGCCGGGTAGCAGAGCGTTCACCTTCGGTCCTTCTGCGAGGCCGCTTAGCAGGCTTAGCTGATGCCCAAACGTAGCTTTCGAGTCCTCCGCCCCAAAGGCGCCAGGCAGATTCTCCGCGTCGGAGCCACAGTCCCAAACGGACGCCTGCCTTCGGCACCAGTGATCCCGTGATTCCTTCAAGAAAGGCCTGAAACTTCGCATTCGGCTTAGAGGGTCACAGTTGACACCAAGCCTTCTAAGCCGTGCCAGATCATCCAGAAGTACTCGGACTATTTCGTTTCCTCTCCGAGCAATAAGAAGATGAACAGTGACACGGAGGCATCGCGAGAGGCTTCGCCACCTAGCCTCGCAGCTGCAAGATTCTGCAAGCCACAAGTTGAGCTGCCCCCTTCGGAGTTGATGACTTCTACTCATGGCCTTGAGATTCGCTCTGAGGAGCGGCAGGAGCTGATGCGAGTCCGAAACTGCATTCCAAGTCCCCTGCGCCTGGGCTGCAAAGTCTTCCTTGTTGCCGCGTTGTCCGAGCGACAGGTTTTCGTAAACTACCAGTAGCGTGGGCTCAGGCTATTGCCTACTAAGGTGGTGTACCCACGCTCGCGCGAAGTGCATGGATGGCAAGCGGCTGGGTTCGAAGCCGCCAGCGTGTACAAGGGCTTGCGCAATGCCGCTGCCTGGCACAAGGGGCTTCAAGCACAACGACATCACAAGCCATCAGCTCTCCTTGAACGTGTAGAAAGATGCCATGATATGCCCCCTTTGCCAGAGCGCAAACTTGAGGCGGGCCTTCGCGAGGGATGGGGCGTCCTGAACCAGAAGGATGGGAGCACCTACGCCGGTCAGTGGGTGTCAGGCCACAGCGGTGTCACGGGTGAAATCAAGAATCATAATCACAGTAGTTCGAACAGTTTTTTTTTCCAGTTATGCTCTGTTCTCCCTATCAGATGCAGGCAAGCGGCATGGGGTGGGCACACTCGTTTTTGATGGTGGCATCTTCGAGGGGCAGTGGGCCCGGGGCGAGGCATCTGGAAGTGGGCTTGTTGCTTGATGCCAGCTTCAGCATCAAGTCTTGCGGGTCGCAGTAGCCTGGGCCAAGGTCCTAAGGTATTCCGACTCCCATGTAGGACGCCTCAGGTTCGTTTTACCAACGGTGACAAGTTCGAGGGCCAGTATGCTGGGAATCGAAAGCATGGGTTTGGCACCTACTGCTGGGCCGATGGTGCAGCGGAGGAGGGCCAGTGGCTCTGCCGCATTGTGAAGGCTGCCGCGAATATTGTGAGAAGCTGAGATTCCGAGGTATTTTAATGGCCGCAAGGTTGAGTGGCACACGTGGTCTCAAGGGCCTTCGCAGTGGAAGCTACGCCGCTTGGTGGTATTGGAGCCGGGCACGCACGCCTGCAGCGCGTCCCTTTCAATTGCGCTTTTCATGTTTGCTAGGCTATGACAATGGTGCCGTGGTCGAGGCACAGCAGGTCCGATCCGCAGAAAAGAGCGAGAGAGACAGAGAGAGAGAGAGAGAGAGAGAGAGAGAGAGAGAAGGAAGGATGTATGTATGTATGTATGTCTGTCTGTATGTATGTATGTATGTATGTATGTATGTAAAGAGGCCTTGAGTGCATGCATATTTGTGTATACATATATGTACATATGCTACCCCCCTTTTCATGGATCCATGGTTTTGTGGCCCTTCTGGCGGATGCACGTACCAAACTGAATGCCGGGGAGAGACCCAACAAATCTTACAGAAACTCGCCCTATTCCCAATTTCTTTTCGCTACATCCTAAAGAGTGGGATCCCTAAATCTTATTCCTGGAGTTTTACTCCCAAAACTTATTCCGTAAACCCTAAAGAGAGGGTACCTAAACCCAAAGTCCTTTTAATATTAAATCCTAAAGAGTGGGATCCCTAAATCTTCTTCCCCAAATCTTATTCACCCTGAAATCCTATTCCCTAAGCCTTACAAAATGGTTTTTGAATCAGGAGAGCCCCTAACAGAGCCCTAAATCCTATAGAAACAAGCCCTATTCCCCGAATCTTGTTGTAAAATCCTGAAGAACGGGATCCCTAAATCTTTTTCCATTAGATTATTTCCTTAAGCGTGTTCCCTAAGCCCTGGAGAGGGACGTCCTTGAATCCGAAACCCTGTTCGCGAAGTCCTCAAGAGCCAGGCCCCTAAATCTTGTTCCCTAAAGTCGCATTGACGTATTCTTATTCCTCAAATCCTATTGCGTAAACCATGAGGTGGGTGGCTCTCACCTCTCACTATATTCCATAGTCAAGTTGGACAGGCCCTAAAGCGGGAGGATCCCAAATCTTAGTCACTAAATCTCTAATCTTCAAGAGGAGCGTATAAGTGCACCCCCACGAGGCGTAGACCAGTTATTCGCCAGATCCTAAACTAATAGGTGATCCCGCTGACATCTATTTAAGGAACGGATGTTTGCCCTAAATCCTAAAGGCTAGTCAAGGTGTAAATGCCTTAGCCTTAAACCCTAAAGTTTCAAACGCTATGGCATTAGGTTTCAATGCTTAAAGCTGAAACCCTAAACCTTTAAACCTTAACCCCCTTAACCCTTGTGCTTTAAGGTTAAGGGTATAGGTTTAATTGCCGGCTTAGGTTTAAATGCTTAAATCTTAACCCTAACCCTTTAAACCTTCACCATAGGGTTTAAAAGGTTAAGGATTTAAGTGTAATTGCTTAACCTTGAAACCCTATGTATGCGGTTTAAAGGTTTGGGGTTTAAGGTTTAAGCCTAAACCCTACAGGCTCTAAGCCTTGGGGACTAAAGCCTTAAACCCTCTCGAATTTCGGTCCCTTAACCGATAATGAGTTTTTAAAGACATTCCTTGAACAAGCACTTAAAAAACAACCAGAGAGCGCAGCGGAGCGGAGCGGAAGGGAGAGAGGGAGGGGGAGGGAGGGGGGCGTTCAAACTTGGTGTTATTTCACAAGACGCTCATTCCAGAATAATTTTCTTAGTATTAATAGTTCAGGAATAATTCTTTAGAATTCGTAAGAATTCTGAAAAATTCTTATCGAAAACACTGAAGATTGAAGATTTCTGGGAGACTCTTGTGGAAAACCCTTTCAAATTTGAGAATTTGGGCCCTAAAACCGAAGATTGAAGAATTGAAGATCCCGGGAAAAGTTTTCCCAGGATATTCGGTTTAGGGACCCAAAAGTTTCAAAAAATGCAAAAAAATCAAATTGAACTTTTTCTGCCCCGCTCAAAATCGAAGATCCTGGGAAAACTTTTCCCAGGGATCTTCAATTCTTCAATCTTCAGTTTGGGGCAAAAAAGCTCAAGTTAGATTTTTTTGTTTTTTTTGAAATTCTTTCCGCCCTAAACCCTGCGGCCCTAGACCTTATACCTCAGAATCGTTTTGCTGAGCTCGATACCAAGGAAAGAAAGAAGAAAAAGTATGGATCCATGGGGGGGGGTACCGTGCATTATATGTATATATATATACACACACACACGCCTACATATGTGCGTATTGCAACATACGACAACTGAGTCCCTTTTAGGACTTGTTTGAGATTCTTTTTGAGGTGACCGGGAAGGAGAGGCCGAGTCGCTCCGTTGGAGCCTATCCACGGGCCAAGGAGCCACGGCTCTCGCCCCTTGGACTACTTTTGGTTGCGGTTTAGGGTTTAGGGTTTAGGGTTTAGGGTTTAGGGTTTAGGGTTCATGGTTTAGGGTTTGGGGTTTGGGGTTTGGGGTTTGGGGTTTGGGGGTTGGGGGTTGGGGGTTTGGGGTTAAGGGTTTAGGGTTTAGGGGTCCATCTTGCGAGATCTTACGAGTAGCACGGCGTGATTCGGCAGGCCCTTCGGAAACTCGGAAAGGTCTCCTAAGCCGAAGACGCCGACCCCAAGGCCTTGTATTTCGAGGCGGCTCGGTGCTCGACAGCTTTGTGCTACCCTTGGCCAGGCCCAGGAAAGCTCCACAAGCTCAACAGCAAGATGAGGCCCTCGATGGCCGTGTGAGTTTGACGAGACTAACTTGTGCCGGGAGAGACAGGATCGCTCCGGCTCGCCTGCGCAGAGCTTGATTGCCGATCTGCAACCTCAGGCGTGCGTGGGACATGTGCTTGTGCTTATGGCCTGCCGGGTCTGGCTACCTCTTCAAATGCAGTGCGTCCTTGAGAGGAGCCTGGACGGCCAGCCTTGAGCCAGGCCGGAGAGAGAGAGAGAAAGAGAGGTTGAATGGGTCCTTTGGGCCCTTCAAGCCCCGTAGAAGAAGAAGGTTGAATACCTGAGCATCTGAGCACCCGAGCATCGCCGCGCTCGTGCGGCGCGGAGCTGCGACCGCTTCAGGCACGAGCGCCGTTCGCCGGCACGGAAGGGCGACAACAGGCTGCCGCTTGCCCGCGGTTGCCGTCAGACTGTCACCGGACGTGTCCTTTCCTTTCACACGAAGCTCCTCAGGTCGTGGGAACGAGTACTGCGAGTAGTGCAAGTGCCGGGAAGTCTCCGGAGGCTCTGCAACGCATGGCGCTGGCCATATCCAAGGCTGGGCGCGTAAGTGCGTGGGGATGTGGTTGCAAAACTACATAACCCATGTACATATATGTATATATCTATATATGCGTACATATATATATATATATATATGGTCCAGAGCTGCCATGCCCACCCCCCCCCCCCCCCCATGGTATCCCCCCCCACCCTCCTTGTATCCCTACCCCCCCCCCCCCCCCCTCCCCCTGCGGTGTGGGTGTTGTTGGGGGGTTAGGGTTTAAGGTTTAAGGGTTAGGGCCCACCCCCGCCCCCCCGTGGCGCGGGTGTGGTTGCGGGGTTAGGGGTAAGGGTTTAAGGTTTAGGTGGAGGGACGCGCGCGTGGAAGGCGCGCGCGCGCGCGCGCGTGCGTGCGTGCGTGCGCGCGCGCGCGCGCGTGCGCGCGCGCGCGCGCGCAACAGCATCATTGGCATCAGCGGCTTGGGGTGGGGGCCGAAAGTCGCGAAACACGCCCAAAAACACGACGAAACCAAGGTTTTCTCGAGAAAAGCATGCTTTCTCCGAGATTTGGCGCTGCGTGCATACACGGCAGCCATAACGAGGAGTTTTTCAGCAGTTTTTCATGCAACACGCAAAAAACACGGTATTTACCGCGTTTCCGGCCCCTGGGGGCCTGGGGCAATGGGGTCATGGGACCATGGGGCCATGAGCACGGGTGAAAGTGATGAGAGCGCTGAGAGCGGGAAGGTGGGCGTGTTTTGGACCACCCGAAATAGAAAAGATAGGTCAGGGGCGGAGTAGGTGGTAGGGGAAATGGGTCTTCACTGACGCCGCCCCCCACTTGGGGGTCGGCGGATATGTATATGTGTGTATATTTATATACGCGTGTATGTATGCAAATGTCTTTGTGCATGGCTACACACGTACACTACATACATGCATGCATACATACATACATATGGGTACATATGTGTGTACTTCAACTAGATGTAGAATCACATATAACCTTGGTCAGCTCCTGCCCACATCCCGCACCTCCCCTTTGCAAGGTCAACAGCCTTTACCGACAAGTGGCTCTTCCTGCCGACTCGTGGCGCAAGCCAGATTGCAAAGGAACTTGTCCTGGGGTCCCTGAAGCCACACAATGTCGGTTTGCATCTAAGGAAGCTCATGAGTCGTTCTAATGGCAAGGCAGAACCTGAAAGATTGCGATGAATCAGCAAGATCCTGGCAGCAACTGCGGCACCTACTTCCCCGGAGCACCTGGCACTGGACATGCCGGAGGCTTGTGGACAGAAAGCAGAACGATAATGAACGCCCTCACAGATCTATGCCGCGATCGTCCTCGAACCCTGTGCTGACCTGGCCGGCCGTGTTTCACTTAGAGTTGGGCTTCTGTCTGCTCTTCTGCCGGTCATGTGCTGATCGACAGTACCAGCGGGAGCCATGTACATAGATGGTTGCGACAGGAGCTCGTCCAATTCGAGCTGTTGTCGGTCACTGAGGTGCGCTGGAGAGTGAGGGGTAAGGAGCAGGTACCTGAGTGATTGTACCTGCGCCAGAAAAATGGCAGGCATCCAAGTCATGAAACTCTTGCCAACCTCACAGTCCAAAAGCGTGTGTTCTGCGTCAGATACCTTCGTGGCCCGAACTCAAGTGCATCACTTTTGTGACTTTTGTGCCCCGGAGAAGTTTGCCCGTCCACCACGAAGTGTGAGCTTTGCATAGTACGACTTTTCTGAGAACCCCATGCGTAGACCGGAACGCCTTTGAGCCCATGGGCAAGCTGGGCATTCGACACCTGTCTCGGACATGCAAGGCATGACTGCATGTCCTAGCGTGCCATTGCGTGGTATCCAATGGTCGGTTCCTAAGGAAAGAAGGTGGCCAACCGAGGCCCCAAGCGCCCAAGCGCTGTGGACACTTGCCGACATGGTGCGGTCTATGTCTCTCTCTGTCTCTGTGTGTGTGTGTGTGTGTGTGTGTAAGCCTCTGAGCCTTTGAGCCATTGAGGACCAAGCCAAAGCAGCAAAGGATGCAGGACACCCCCATTCCATCCTGCTGTCCATCGTCACGAATCCAGAAATTCTTTCAAAGAGCTTGGCGGTATCCCGACAGCCGCAGGCCGCTGTGACGAAGCTCTGGAGTTGTTGAAGGCTGCCCTTCCTGGCCGCGGCGCACAGGTCGAGGCACACCTGATCCGCGTCACTTTGAGGGGCACTTCTCGAGGCGCTCTCTTTTTTTCTGTGTAAGTCCCACCAGGTGGCAAAGTATGAGCTGGCCTTGCTCCTGTCCCAGCTCGGGAGGCACGAGGCCAGGGCTTGGCCACCTGTGCCACCTGTCATGGCATGCCCTGTTGATGTCCCTGCAGTAGGAATTCTCCACTGATGTTTTGCGGATGTTTTGTGGCTGTTATGTGGATGTTTTGTGGAGGTTGTGGGTCTTTCATGACGTGTTCCCATGTTTTTCTCTGGTCATCTGCAAGGCATGAACTTCTCGTTGCAATGACTCGTGCAAATGGATGCAAGTAGTTGAGCAGGCTTGTGTAAGCAGACATTGTGCCCAGGAGGCAGACCACTGGCTAAGGCAGCTGGGCCTCACTTGGAAGCCGCTTTGCCCGCACAAAGCCTTTCAAGAGAAGCAAGCCACAGCCACACGTAGGCATGACTTGTCGCGAGCCATATGAGCTCACGCCTTCATGGGTGAACAAGACGTTGATATCTATTGGTTTACTTATACTTCCAGAAGAGAGCTCTTTGACCTGTTTCGGAGGTTAAACCCATCTGTGCTGGATGGAAGCTGCCTCACAGGCCCCACATGTCGAGGCTGGAGTTTTTTCGCGTTGGCAGAGTCGCCGGCTCAAGTGCGGTCGCGCGAAGGTGATGCCAACTTCGTCGCCGCCTTTGACGATGCGCTGCCACGCGAGCTTCTGCAGTTGCTCCAGGACCTGTTGCAGCACAAGAGGTGCGCAGAAAGTGCAGCGTGGGCTGACTGCGGCGAATGGTCAGTCGTTGCTATGCTGTGCAGATGGGGCATTCGTCGCAGCCAGTGAAGTGAACCTTGAGTCAAGGATGCCTTTCAGGCGGGATCTGCGTTTTGGAAGGAGACGCCCGGCCCAGACGTTGAGTTTTCGGTAGCCCTGTCTTCATTGAAGCTTTCTTAATCATGAGAATATGCCCGCACGGGAGAGTGTTTTTTTGCGAGCTTTGTGGATCAGAGGCACAAGTATCCGACTCCGAACTTCTTCTCCTACAATGAGAAGCTGCAGCCAGTCGTTTGGCAGCAGCGCAAGGTGGTCGTCATCAGTGCTTTTTGCAGAAGTTTCGTTGCCAGGGTGGCGCAGCTGCCGAAGGGGCTCCACTGATTCGTATGGCGGCATCACATGTGAAAAGCCTTGCGGTGGCCAGCTTCCCAGCCATCTTTGGCTGCTCAGGCCATCGGTGAACTTGCATAGGTCCCGAGAGCGCAAGCATTGTTATTGCGCAGGCTGCGACCGCAAGGTCTCCTCTGTCGATGCTCGGAAGTGCTTGGCTATTTCGCAGCTGCAGCAGGTGGCCCTGAGAAAGCATCGGATTGAGAGGGGATGCCCCGAGGAGTGGTGGGCTCACACGCGCCCTGCAGGTTCGGGCAGTGGCCACCAGTTCCTTGGATGTCGAGTCGAGATCTGTGGAGTAGGTCTCATGCGTGGTTCAGACGTGTTGGACCATGGACCTCCGCCGATCCAGAGGCTGCACTATGATTTGGACGAGGTGAGCCTGCCATCCTTGAAGGAGCCAACTGCTGCATCTGCCTCTTTAGATGTTGCGACATGGGGGAACGTTGCAAGTTAGGGCGCCAGCTGCAGGAAGGATCTCTTCCACACCACCCACTGGTGTCCTGTGTTCTCTACCTCAGCTGCTGCTTCCCTAGTCATCTTGCAGGGCTCATCATGTGACTAACTTAGAATGCAGAGCCGCCAGTGCGCTTTGAGGTGGCAGTGCAGCCACGGCTTCCACCACCCTCGTGTCATGTCCGATAAACAGAGTGCCAACAGAGTCCAGTCGTTGGGAATAGAAGCCAAGGAAACCAGTGGCAGCGCCACAGACAGGACTAAGCTTCTACCCTCTAAGGAGTACTGGGTCCTGCTAGGGTCAGATTCTTGACTTGGACGGGATGTTCTGTTGTGGCATAGCGGCCCTCGTTGTTGGTCGCACAGTTAACGCATGTTAAAGCAATTTTCTTCGGGACCTTTCAGTTTTCATGCCAAAAGAAGCGAAGAACTGGGCTGACAAACTTTCCCAGGCACAGCAGGAATAGCTTGTGGTAGTGTCCGAGGTTACGGACCAGACACTGAAGCCTGGCAGTCGGGCGAGCAGGGGCTGGCTGTGTGAACCAAGAGTGAATCGAGTGTCTCGGCTTCAAAGCTGGCGCTGCTCGTTGTGCGACTGTATTAGCTGTCGTCGTTATGGGCCGTAGGTGCTTCTCTTTGATGGCAGCCTGCTCCATGGCGTCATCCCGAACCTCGCCTTGCAGGTGCCGGGTGACGGTTGACCACGCTTGGCATTCCTTTCAAGCATTTGGAATCCCAGTGTGCGACTGTGCCGTTGCAGGCAACGGACCCTTCGGAGCCGCGAGTCACGCTGATGCTGGGCCTTTGGGGCGAGCAGGGGCCATGTGGCTCCTATGCTCGAAGCAGACCGCCACATACTCGAACACACTGCACGTTTCTGCACAAAGAATCGCTTTCTTAGCTTCCTGAAGGTTCGCCAGCTCCATCTCCAACGCAGCCATTGGGTAGCTTCGCTGGACTGGCTAGTCAAAGGCGGTTGATATCGTGACCACGCGCTTTCTTCACGGTGCCACGCGTTGCTGTGTGCGGGTCTGTGTCTTGTCTCAGCTGAGGACCCAACATGCGACTCAAAAAGCATCAAGTAAAGCATCAAGTGAATCAAGTGCAGAGTGCAGCCACCAGCTGAGTTGGATCGAGGCAGCTGCCTCGTGAAGCTGCCTGGCCGGAACTTCTCCGACCTTATGTTGCCGATGCCAAAGCGCTTCAGGCTCACCGAATGCCGCCGGATTCGCGTTCTTTGCTGTGCGATTTCAGTGTCCAGATGCGACATCCCTCGAGGCGCCGTCCGCCGCCACGCCGGCAGATCTTGCTGGTCCAGTGCAACCGGTTTGGTGTTCGACGGAGACCTCTGAAGATTCTGCATCTTCTCCTGGCTCTGTGGAGTTTATTGGCCGCTGGTTCTTGAGCCATGCCCCCCGGCTCGCACCACCAGTAACTTGTTCTTGCCTTGGCTGATGTGACCCAGCGCCTAGGCTCCAGAGGAGTTGCAGCGGGTTGGTGGCACCGCCCAGATCGAAGTCGAGGCTCAGAACGCACGCAGGCCATGACATCCGAGCCCCCTCCACTGTGCCAGGAAGTGTCCATGGACGAGTTTCAGAAGATGCGTGCTGCTTCAGAGGGTGCAAAAGCGAATCGCATCGGCTGCCATGTCATGTTGAGATTTGCTCGCTGATCTATCAGCGGATTCCTCTGCTGAGAGCTCGTCCTGCGCAGTTGACATGGGTTGAGGCCATCGATCGATCCAGACACCCGGGCGCCGACAGGAACGAGAGTTTCAGACATACTCAATTTTAAAGTACGTGCTTGTAGCTCTGCTCTGCTGTTTTACCTGTCTTTATCTCTTATCCGCCATCTCTCATCTCAGATCTCAACTCTTAACTCCTTTCCGCTTATCTCTTATCCCGGGTTTCTTGTCTCCTGCATATCTCTGTCTCTCTGTCTGTCTGTCTGTCTGTCTGTCTGTCTGTCTGTCTGTCCGTTTCTCTCTCACGCTCTCTCTCTCTCTCTCTCTCTGTCTCTCCCGTTCTCTCTCGCTCTCTTCTCTCTCCCTCTCTCTATCTCTCTCTCTCTATCTCTCTCTCTCTCGCTCTCGCTCTCACTCTCGCTCTCGCTCTCGCTCTCCCACTCTCTCGCGCTCTCGCTCTCTCTCTCTCTCTGTGTCTACTCTCTCTCTCTCTCTCTCTCTCTCTCTCTCTCTCTCTCTCTCTTTGTGTCTGTACATGTAGATGTACGTGGGCATCGATATATATATATATATCTATAGACTATAGATATCACATTAGATTCTATCTTTCTTCCTACGTATTTATGCGCCGCCATGTACGTACGCATACCTATTACGTGAAAAGAGAGGGGCCCTGCTTCGCAGGACTTCGCAGCTTAGTCGTGAGCGAGGCTCGCTGAAAGCTGGAGCTGCTCCTCAAGGCATGTTTTTGCCCCTGCCAGGATCCGCGCATTGTTACGGTTCCTCAGTTTCTCAGCCCTGAGGAGCGCCAGCCCCAACATGTGGTCAGTTCTCTTCTGATAGGCATGGGCATAGCACTGAAACAAGGGTCCATGAATCAGCGATGCTTCAACTGCGAGTGTTGTCCTGCCATAGCCTTTCTTCCTCAAAGCGCATGGGGAATGTTTGCTCATGGTGCCGCTGCGCCTTTTGCTGCAATAGTTCTTCAAGATGTGATGCCGCACGGATATGTCCATGAGTTTGCCGTTCCTCCTTGGTGGCTTTGCAATTCCTGCTCTATGCAAGGATTATGGATGATAGATGATACATGGTCGGGCGACCCCGCCTGATAGGTGCGCTCCGAGTACGGTGTCAGCAATCTCCATTGCTTGGTTTCCTGTAGGAATTGGAGTATATGCCCTGGCTTGCAAGTTGCCGTCCGTTGAAAGGTTTGCTGGCGGCGCACTTTGCAGCGACGGATGTAAGCCGGGTGGACCGACTGCGGAGATGCTTTTCTGCAAAGTTCTGACATTCCTGTGCAAGTTGGGCATCTAAGATCGATTGATGGGGCACAGCCAAGGATTGCTTCGCTCGGTCGAAGAGCAAACGTTGTCGGTACCCCTGCTGGTGAGTTGGTCGGCAGAAGATGCAGAGGTGTGGCTGCTCTAAGCTGTCCGTCATGTGGCGCTTTTGCTCATGTGGATGCCCCAGCAGCTGTTGACCTATGTTGGCCTTTATTATGCTGGAAGGCTGACAAGGCCTTCCGTGAGAGCGTGGCCGAAAGAGCCTCCGCTGTCATCGATGACTTCCAGAGCAGGCCGGCGAATCATAAGAGCCAACAGCAGGCCCTAGGCTGTGAGTTGTGCCGGCGCTTCATGGATTCCCACGCAGGGGCGTCATCCATGCGATGCCTCGCTTGAGGGGCCGACGGGCGCAGTTCCAGCACTACGCGCGGTTGCGGGACTTGCCGGGCTGCTGGGTCGCTCGTTATCAGCACTGCTCGCAGCATCAGAGTTGCAAGCAGAGAGTGGCTGGCTGGTAGGAGAGCCTGAAGCGTCACATCCAACCGTCGGATCAGCCGTGGGTCTTCTTCTCGGACGACGATGCCGCTTGATACCGACATTCTAGACCAGCAATTGCGGCACAGCCCTTGGTCATGGCTCATTGTGGCCACGCCATGCCACGAGCCCTCCTAAGGATTTGTGGCATCCACGCAGGGCTCAGGAGTATGTACATGCGATTCAGGCCTGGGACCTGCTCAGCTGGACCATTGCAACAAGTGGCTTTTGTGGACATCACATCACAGGATAGACCGGATGACGTGCCAGTCGTGCACTCCAGGCCCAACAGATCTTTCTAAGCGGGTGAGCTTTTCTGATCCACGACTCGGATGCACCGTCAGGGTCCACCTCTCTCCTGGTCTGGGACCACGTCTGCCTCTAGATGCCACGGCTACGGAGGTGACGCGAATGGAGGCTCCTTGAAATCCTGGCATGCATTAGAACATTGTCGGAGTGGGTGCCGGAATGCTTCCCAAAAGAAAAGTGGAGGCGGGTGTGCGTGGGCCATGGCTAGATACGCAGTGGCTGAGATTGGCTGAGTTCGCCTTAGGCGGATGGGCTCCTGCGCCTGGCCATCAGTGCGGAGGAGGCGGGAAGCGGGAAGCTGCCGGAGGCTGCTGGAAGCCTGAGATGCCAAGGAGGAGCCGGGCCTGTTTGGCACGGCCACTGGAGAGTACTTCGATGCAGCCGCCAAGTTCGAGGTGTTTGACGTTGTTCGCCTAGTGATTCCACGGCAACACAGCAAAAACTGATTTGAACTCTTGCAAGACATCGCCCACTCAAGCTGAGGAGTTCTTCGACCGGCATAACGACCAGGTCATTGCGAACAAGTTCGCTGCCTCTCTGCTCAAAGAGGCGATATTAGATTATTAGAGTCTATTGAGGCAGTGGGAGAGACACTCAGCTCCAAGGACATCCGCTTCAGAACGCACCTCTTGCGGGGAGGCGCCTCTCGCGTTTATCGAGCCTCAGCCGCAAGAAGGTCAGCTGGTCTTGTGGCCGCAGAGAAGGAAAGCAGCATTCTGCTGGAGACTTGCGAAGCATCTGCCAGGCTTTCTGCCTAGTGGTGGCACTGCCCAGAGCCCCGAGCACGACCACCTTCCCTGGATGTACTTCTACGATGCTCAGCCAACATCAGCCAACTTTCTTCGCATGAGATCAAGCAGTCTGAGTGAAGTCGAACCGATTGCGTTCAAGTTTCTGGCCGTGACCTTTCCAAGGACCGACCCACCATGCCTTACAGCACGCCACCGGGCGAGGAGGACCTGGAATACGTTTCCGAGGAGCTGCCTGATCCAAAGTGCCATGACTGAGCCATTTTAGATTCATTGTCGACTACTGAAAGAGTTCAGTATAGTTCAGTGCAGCCGGCTGTGGATTTCGGGCTGAGGCGCATTGCAGGGCTGAGGCAGACTCTGGACTGTGTTCTCTTCCAGCTGGCGCCGACTGCCGGTCCACTGGAACGGTCCTTAGTCCTTGGACATCCTGAGACCATAGGCTGACTCATGGTGGCCGGAGGTTTTCTTGAATTTGCTGATTCCTCTTGCTGAGGAGATCACCGAACAGGATTTTGCCCAACGCCTTGTCGGAACCTTGAACGAGGTCACGCCGGCCAACGCAGCCCGAGTGCAGTCAGAACTGCCCAAACACCTCTGTGAGAGTACCGAAGATGCCCAAAATGGGACTCCGCGTTGTCCTCTCTCAGGTTGCCATGGCGCTGGATCGATGTCGAAAGCATGGTGTGAAAGTAGTGAAGACATGAGAGGTTGCGATGAAAAAGCTTAGGGAGGTCCCCTTG